CCCGGCTGCCAGCTTCTTTGTGGCGGCCATTACAGACCGCCGCTGCACCGTCCTGGGAAAAGGGAGTTCTGCCGGCCAGGGAGGGAGTCTGCAGCACCCCCAAACCCTTCTCCGGATCCCCCTACCTTCAGCTGCCCCTGCAGGGCAGCCTAGCTCCGTACCCGGCTGGGTCGGAGCCCCAAAAACGGCTAGCGCGGCAGGGATCGCGCAGCTTCGCAAATCCCTGCCGCTCGCGAAGCCGACAAACCGGAAGTCCCTGGTTTTGTATATTAAAGAGACCATCTCAGCGAAATTGATTTATACTGATGACGACGGAGACTATTAATGGTGGAAATAATGGACAATAATACGAAACACTCCTGATTGCAATCTATGCCCCGAATGACAATCAAGAAGAATTCTATAAAAAATTACATATGAAAGTAATTGAACTGGACTATGTTAATATAGTGATGATGGGAGATTTTAATGGAATTGTAGACAATAAACTGGACTATACAGCACAGAAAACAACAAAGCAAAATAGAAAGAGTCTCCCTAAATCGTTTTTTTTAATGGTAGATGAAATAAACTTAAAAGATATATGGACAGAAAGAAATGCTAAAAGTAAACAATACACCTTCTACTCAGATAGACACTTATCATGGTCCAGAATAGATATGATATGGATGTCAACAGAATTGTTAACTAATATTCAAGAAATAAATATTGAAACAAGTACTTGGGCAGATCACAATCCAATGACAATTAAATGGAAAGGACAAAGAAGAAGATCTAGATGGATGTTAAATAATACTATTTTAAAGGAAAAAGACTTCACACAGTGGATGGAGAAAGAACTGGCCTTTTTCTTTAGAGAAAACAAAAAAGAAGATACATCAATCCAGAATGTATGGGATACAATGAAGGCATATGCCAGAGGATTGATAATAGACTATACAAGGAAAAGAAATACCATGAAAAGATTAGCCTCTAAGGCATTAGAAGATGAGTATAAAGGACTTGAAAAAGAGCTACAGAAAATTCCACAGAAAAAGGACATTAAGTTAAAAATGGATATAACCAAACATAAAATGGGTCTAATAGAAAAAGAAGAATTAGCACAAAAAATTAGAGGTGCTAAACAGAACTACTTTGAAGATGCAAATAAACCAGGTAGATGGTTAGCATATAAATTGAGAAAGGAGAAAGAATCAAGGAAAATATTGCAATTAATAGATGACCAAGAAGGCCAAGTTTGCTATGGTAGTAAAGAGAAGAAGGAAATCATTCAAGACTATTATGGGAAACTATACACACAAGAGAATATTGATGAGGTTAAAGTTAAACAGTATTTACAGAATGCTAATTTACCCCAGATACCTAAAGAGATTGAAACAATGTTAGAAAGTAATATAACGATGATGGAGTTAACTGAAGCACTTAAGAAGCAAAATAATGGAAAGGCACCAGGCCCAGATGGACTTCCGGCAGAATTTTACAAAACATTACAAGAATCATTGAACTTTCCATTGCTAGAAGTTATGTTAAAGAAGAGGATACCTAAATCATGGTCAGAAGCTTATATCACACTTGTTCCAAAAGAGGAGACCGATCCATTACAAATCAAGAACTATAGACCTATTTCCCTACTAAATGCAGATTATAAAATCTTTGCTTCAATATTGGCAGAAAGACTTAAAAAATACTTAAATAATTTTATTCATCCTGATCAAAATGGATTTCTGCCAAAGAGACAAATTAAAGACAATATGAGAGTAATCTTGGACACTTTGGAATACTACGAGGCACATCCTGAAAAACAAATGGCTCTGATATTTCTAGATGCACAGAAGGCATTTGATAATGTGAATTGGTGATTCATGTTATTACTGCTGGAACAGATGGGCTTTGCTAAAAAATTTATTCAAGCAATAGAAGCTATATATCATAAGCAGACAGCAAAGTAATGATAGAGGGAGAACTGACAGATTCTATCGATATAAGAAAAGAAACAAGACAAGGGTGCCCACTATCACCTCTGTTGTTTGTGTTAACTTTGGAAGTGCTAAATAGAAATATTAGAGATGAAAAGAATATAAAAGGGATGAAAATTAAAAATGAAGAATTTAAGTTGCAAGCATTTGCAGATGATCTGGTTTTTATCTTAGAAGACCCACTAGAAACAGCATCAAAATTGATAGAAAAGATAGAGGCATATGGAAAGGTGGCTGGTTTGAAAATAAATAAAGATAAGACAAAGATCTTGACAAAGAATATGCTATCAAGACAAAAGGAAGAACTGGCAGACCTATTGAAAATTCAGGTCACAAATAAGATCAAGTACTTGGGGATAAACTTGACAGCAAGATGCAGTACACTAAAAGAGAATAATTATATCAAACTTAAACAGCAGATAGCGCTAGATTTGGCGAAATGGGAAAATTTACAACTGTCATTAATAGGGAGAATATCAACAATCAAGATGAATATATTACCCAGAATTTTATATTTGTTTCAAACAATTCCAATTAGGCTTGGGAAAGACTACTTTGAAGATTTAAATAAAATTGTGTTGAAATATATATGGCAAGGTAAGAAAGCGAGAATAAAATTAAAACTTTTGCAAGATGCTAGAATAAGAGGAGGATTTGGTTTGCCTAATTGGAAGTTGTATTACCAAGCTACAAATTTGATGTGGGTTAAGGAATGGATAACATTAAGAAATACTAGATTGTTGACATTAGAAGGACATGATCTGTTGTTGGGCTGGCATGCTTTTTTATGGTATAAAGGAACTAAAACACAGGGGTACTTTAGAACAGGGGTCCCCAACCACCGGTCCGCGGACCGGTCTCGGTCCGTGGAACAAGTCCTACCGGGCCGCTGGTTTGCTGGGCGCCGCCATCTTTTTTTGATGAAAAAGTGCTTCCAGTGAGCTTTTCCGGGTAGAAAGCTCACCGGAAGCACTTTTTCTCCGGTGAGGTCACCGGAAGCACTTTTTCATCAAAAAAAGATGGCGGCGCCCAGCTAATGCCGGTACCGGGCCGCGCCATAAAAAAGGTTGGGGATACCGGGCCGCGGCATAAGAAAGGTTGGGGATCACTGCTTTAGAAGACATTATATACGGGAGTCTCTGTGGTTAAACTGGGAGAAGATTAAAAGACAATGTTATTTGAAAATTCCAGTCTGACTATCAACTATTGAAGCATTTTCTTATCCTATAATATACAAAAAGGAACAAACAGTTAGATATAGTGAAATATTGAATGAAAAGGGTGAACTTAAATCTATACAAAAACTAGAGGAACAAGTTATAAAGATGAATTGGTTTTCATATGCGCAAATACATTCAAGGTATGATAAAGATTCTAAAACAGAAGGTTTTTATGATAAACTGACTTAGATAAGATTTTGACAGGTACCGATGAAAAGGTGATTAAAAAATTGTATGGATATTTATTAGAAATTAAACTAGAAGAAGAACAAGTTAAAGAAACTATGATTGCTTGGGGGGAGAATTTTGGATATGGGATTGATCTAGAGAAATGGCAAAAATTGTGGTCTCAAAATTATAAAATGACAATGTCAACAGCATATAAAGAAAATTTGTATAAGATATTTTACAGGTGGCATTTCCCCCCGACAAGAATAGCAAGAATGTTCAAGAATAAATCCGAAAAATGTTGGAAATGTCATCAGACACCTGAGTCATATTACCATATGTGGTGGACTTGTGCAGATGCTAAAAAATACTGGACTAAAATCCACACATGGTTGGAAAAAATGACAAAAAAACATATAGATTTGAAACCAGAGATATTTTTATTGGGAATTTTACCTGAAATATATAGTAAAGACTTGAAATACCTGATTGTAAATGTATTAACAGCAGCTAGGATTGTATTTACTAAAAACTGGAAAAATGAGAAAATACCATCACAGGAGGAAATCATTAAGAAAATATTGGATTGTGCTGAAATGAGTAGATTGACATTTGAAATTAGAGAACAAGAGGATAAACAATTTTATAAAATTTGGGATCTATTCTATCAATGGTTAGACAATATAATATAGTAATGAAATATGTAGACTTTTAGAAAATAATAAATATATAAAGATGTATTCTTTTCTTATTATATCTACAAAATGATTTTAGGATAGATCTGGGATGATAATATGAATTGTCATAAAACAAATTAAATAAAATATGATCATTTTGTAAAACATGAATGAATAAAAGTATAGTCAAATGATTAATAATGATATTAATGTATTTAATATTTGCAAATACGAGATTATATACAATGTAATTATAATTGAAGACTATGAAATGGAAGCACAAAACAATTTGTAAACCAACTGGCACACTGTATGTACATATATGGAAGATGACTTGATGTTTTTATGTTTTGTTTGTTTATGTTTGTTTTAAAAACCAATAAAAATTAAAAAAAAAAAAGAATTCCAACAGTTTTAGTGCACATTCTTTGGTCTGAACAAGCTAGTTTCACAATGTCAAAAATGGATTTTGTATAGGAGACATTCACAAAGCATTTTATAAGAACCAGATGATTATATTTATGTTATACAAATATAACTATATTATTTTGCAAAATTTTAATGCACTTGTAAATATTGTTAACAAATTGAATTAAATTCACTGCTGACTGAATAAACATTTATATTCCATTTGTATTTGTCTACTTAAACACCAGTTACAAACTGGTGCAGTCCATTTGTTTAATTTAAACTATAGTTTTCATCAATGTGAAAAGATCCTATCAAGAAATTTGATAGGAAATTGAAATCGGTATTAAAAAATATCCTTGATAAATTAATGCTTAATTTACAATGCAGATGAGAATTTTATTGTGTAATTGCCATCTTATTCACAACATTTTATATGAGATCCAGGTATTTTCCTCTTTTATTTATAAACTTCTCACTTTTCCCCACCAGTTCTAATGTTTATTTTCACCTTAAGGAAAAGAAATTGAAGAATTGTATGCTGCTTTTAAAAAATAGTTCTGTGCCTGAAAGCACTTTAAATAAGTGCTCTGAGTTCTACATCACTGAAATCAATTTGAATTTTGTTCTTCTTTATAAGAATAGGATCCATTTTGTAAAGAAGGTAGGTGTATTACTATGGAATTATAATAAAATAGTTGCAGTCCCAAATAGAGTACTCTGTCCTAATAGCTACAATTGTTTGTTCAGAAACCATCACAAGTTCTTAAAGTATTTCACTATTATAAAAGAATCTTGAAGTTTTGTCATAAAATTTCCAGCACGGAAAAGGACAGATTAATCAGCTTGCCTTTATGATGTCAGTGACAGCTTGTTAAACTTCTCTGAGCCTTGAAATCTTGGAAGATTCAATTATTAATTTAAGATTTATAGGAGTAAACAAATTCCAGATTTGGAGTCACCTTCAATTAATCTTTGGGGATTATTCAGGTCTTCAAAGAGTCCCGTTTCAATAACTTCTTCTTGCCAGGGTATTGGGATAGCACCAGTAGAAAATCTCTTAAAGAATTCAATGTCTTTGTCATCAAACTCAATTCCTCGAGCTTCAGAAAAATCAGCAATGTCTGCAACATCTTTGGCATAGACAACTGATGGATCTGGCACAAAAGGAGGATCAATAAGACCTGCCTCCAGCCTGTGGAAATTTATTGACTTGAAGTATTCATGTTTCCTGGGATCATCATCATTACTCCTGTAACAAAACAAGAAAAAAAGGTGTTTCAAATAGTCTTATGAAGCAGATTTATATTCAAGCACATACTAATCATACCAGTGGGGGTATACCAGTGGGATCAGAAAGAAACAATCAAAGATTTGTTAATTTATTAAGTTTGAGGCCTTCTGTTACTTTCCAAATTAGAAGCTTTAATAGCGCGCTGGGCAACAATACTTGATAAATACATTTTTATACAGATTAATTCATATATCTTGTTCTGATAGATCTCCTTTAGGTAAGAATGTTTAGTGTTCATTAGTTAGCCCTCTTTCCCTGTGGATAACTTGAGTAGCATTAAAGAAACAATATAATAGCCTTCTCTCAACTGGTGACTTGTGGACTATAATTTTTATCTTCCTCAGCTACTGAGGTATTAGTGGGTATAATCTCAAAGGAATTAAATTATATTAAAAAATAAGCAATGTGTAGGTAAGAAGGTTAAATCTGACATGATTGTTGACCTTGGAGAAGAAACTTTCAGCCGCACTTGTTATTCTTGGTGCAATTCAAGGTGCAAGTCCTACAAGGGGCTGGGGGTGGGGGCAATTATTTGTCCCCTGTAATTTTTGTACAGCTGATAACCAAAAGGGTTGGTATGCAACAGGTGTCAGCATTCCAGCAAACCTCCATTCTAATCAGTAACTCCAAGACAAACATATCTCAAATGTACCTTTATTAGAATAGCACCTGGCACATCTGTAGAATCCCAAATCTGAAAGATTTCGGACTTTCCACAATTCCCAAATTGCAAATCCATCCCTTATTGGCCATCATCACATCACATGGCCCAATCACGATCCGTCCAAAAGTAAGATCCTTTTTTCATCCTGCACCATACCCAATGACCTTGAACTAACAAAAGAATTTTATTTTGTCTACTTAGAGCTACTCAATTGAATCCACCCCCCTTCCACTTGTGCCAGCATGGAAATGGCTTCCAAACCTGACATCAGGTCATTTTGTATGTCATTTTTTCATCCTATTTTATCTTTGCTTCTACTGGGTAGCTCCTATTCTAATAGGGTTGTCCAAGATTTTGGACTGGGGTGATAGAGCCTAGTCTGTGTTTTATTACTGGCAATTTTCAGTCATTTTGTTCTTTATCAGCTTTTAACTTATTTGTATTGTGGTTTTGTTTGTTATATTTTATCTTTCTTTTTTTGTTATATTGTGAGAAACTAATATTCATTTGGGGTTGGACAGTACTTCTGTTAAATAAATTCAATTAATTGAAAAGAAGCTACTTTGTTCACCTAGGATAGTGAGGATATATACTGAACGCTATTCAAAAATGTGCACATACATAAATTTTAAAATAAATAAAATGATGTAGAATTGATTCCAAACATTGAATTTCATTACTTTTGGAGAAAAATGTGTTTTAGAACAGGCAGTAAACCATGCGACTGAGTAGTATTAAAAGATTGATGATTTTCTGTGACTATAATCATGTAAAATAAAAGAAAATGTATACATTTCTATCTTTTTGTAATGCTCATGAAAAACACAATCACCAAAATTAGATTCAGTGTCCAGCTATAAAAGCTTGGCTTCCTATTTCCCACAGGTACTCTAGTTCAGACAGCCAAGACTATTGATATTTTTTGTGAGTTATGTGCCAGCAGGCTGTGTTAGGGAATAATTCTTAAAGGAAACTCAATGGCCATCACTTTCTTCCTTTCTAGAAACTGACATTTGAGCACCACCGCTAGGCCTTTGCATGCATGTACAAGAGTCACCTAACAACATGATGAAGGAGAGTATAGCATCACTAAATAATGTTTATTTGTTAACATCTGTTAGAGTTCTGATAGACCTCTACCAGAAACAGATTTAAACATTCTGAGAAATCTAATTCCTGGTTCACTCATGCCTAATAAGTTACAATTTATTTAATCTCAGTTTGTTAAATAAGCCATAGTTGGCTGGATCACCCATTGAACTAGCCCATAAATAAGCTTTAATGTTTAATTCATTTGCTAGATTAATAATCAGATTTATTTTATATTTTTGTTTAATAAAAATGCAGATTGGTAAATATTTTGAAAATAAATCCTCAAGTACTTTTCACCATTTCACTAGCACTATAATTATCTTTTCATATTACTTCTAATTATCATGATCACCTATGAGAAAACCATTGAAATTGTATTTTCTAGAACACGAGTGCATACATGTCAGGCCAAGAAAACCACATGGATGCATTCATACAAACATCACGTTCTGGGTGAACTTAACCCAGTTATTTAACTTTATCATGAATACATTGCAGGTTTTCTCAAAAAAATTGAGTGGTTAGAAAATGAATGTACTAAAGTCTGTTCAGCTATGCCCTGGCTAAAATAATATATATATCTACAGTTCTGCAAAAGATAAAATAAAAAAACAAACATTATTTATAAGGAAAAAGATAGGGGAAGGGAAAGTGCAAAGGAACAAAGAAAAATGAAAAGAAATAAAGAATAAAGATGCAAAAAAGTTTTGTTAACAATCATTTCTGGAGATGTTTGGAAGGTGAATGTTGTGGGTCAGCAAGCACTGGATCTCTCTAATATGTTAATTAGATATATAGTTGGGAGACTTGTGTGTATGGCAGATGATCTGCAGATAAACTAAGTCATAGTATGTACATTTGTCTTTTTTAGTCCACTTAGCAATATTAATATTCCAATATTTCTCAACATTAGCAAAAATATTTAGGGAAGATCTTCTGAAAGAGATTCACACAATCTTTTTCAAATGCTACATCTTGGCATCTTCTTGGAAAATAGCCTTCTCAATACTTGCCCCAACAAAAATAATGCTTTTCTTTGGAGAGTATATTTGGCCTAATATAGTCTTGTTTCTTAGAAACTGACATATACTTACTGATTGCATTTAGCCTTCCAGATAATGACTAAATAATCTGCTGGAAACCAGTGTTTAATTGGTCTCATTTGTTCTTTTAGCTGTCACATTGTGTTTGTAAATTAATTTTGAAAAGTGGAAATCCAATTCTTCTTGGATTAACCTGTTAATATCAGATTCCAGTTCGTGTGTGTGTGTGTGTGTGTGTGTGTGTGTGTATGTGTGTGTGTGGTATTCTTCATACCCATGAAATAAAATATTTTTCTGCTTCTTTCTGGTTAGTGATCTGTTTCTTTCTGAATGCCCCTGATTGAAAACCTAGTTCTACAAAACTTACATAATTGGGCCTAGGAGATGAAATAGTTCACCTCTTATGACCCTTGGATTGTTGATATTTGCTGTTAATCAGAAACCTTTTAGAGGGTCAAGTATGCAAATTAAAGCTGCCTATAAGAAGCTTTAACTTATGCAATGCATACTTAAACAGATAACCCAAGGGCTCATTGACCTTACCAGAATCTTAAGTTAATCTTTGTAAAGTTGTCCTTGAACAATATCTCTAGTTAGCAACCATAGACAGGTTTTCTGCTGTCTCCAATATACAATGAATGCCCTCCCCCTACCACCTAATCACAATATCTTACATATAGTGGCAATAAAAAGAAATGACAGACAAGCATGCAACTGATAAAGTTCAATAGATACTCTATAACACTTATGGCTACCAGACTGTTTTTGGAGAAAATGAAAAAAAAACAACGTATACTCGATTCACTTTGGATGTAAACTCATTGGAAGCCCACATCTCCTATATGCAGGATTTAAGGTTCGCATTAAAATTATCTGTTTGGGACCCACATTTTGTGAGAATAAGACAGAGCACATTCTCAGTGGAATTCAAGCCAGAAGAAGCCAAGCCTTTTCTTTATTTCTGTTATCCTCTGCATACTTCAGGAAATGTTTGGCATTGGTTGTTGATTTTTAATTGAGAGGTCTGTTTATTTTTTAATTGGTGCATTGAATCATAGTTTTAGTGTATTTATTTTAATATTTTACCCATAAACATAACATTTTCATCTGTATTTTGCTTGTTAGCCATGCTGAGTGTTATTTTTGGCAAAGAAAATAATATAAATTTAACAGATAAATAAATAGCCCAGTTCAAGTTATTAATTACGGTGATCTGTGCTTTTCAGTTAGTATTTTCAATCAGCATTTTAATTCCAGTGTTTCCTTGTGTTTCATTATAGCTTGCATCAATTGGGCCAAACATTGGCTTTCAAAGATAGTTTAATTGTTAGGGGCTAAGCAAATCCCTTTTTGCCATGACATGGAAAGATCACAACTGGTAAAGAATGCTAAAGCAGCACATTTGGCAGTATCAACAGCAGCATGAAAAACATCTGCACAAATAATTATTGCAAGACAATTCCCCGATCCTTTAGAGGTTAATACAACATTAAATGAACTGGAGCAAAATATAAAGAATCTAAAATATGCAGGCATTAAAATGTATCTCCGTCCTTTTATTGAGTAATTGGGAATATTTTCCCAATAAAAATATAGGGTGGCATTAAAAACAGGTATTTAAAAATGTATTCATTTTTTTTTCTTTAGATTGATACTTCCATGTGTTTTTAAAGTTCCTTCATCAGAGATGGTGTTTGGCTGCCTTATTCATAACAATGTCCCATGTTTTTCTTGTACTATTTTTTAAAAGTTAATATAATAGCTATGTCCTTTTCAACTTTTAACTTTATTTATTTCTAGGACTTTTACACTGCTTTTTGTTCAGGACATTTAAGATTTGATTATAGTTTACAGCTGTTTCAGACACAACTTATTGTATATGGATTTTTTTATTTCATTTTAAATTTTTATTTTCTTGTTTACATTTTAGGGGGCTTTTAAAATTAAATTAAAATTAACTTTTTCTCTACCTGACCTTGGCCAGTGAGCTGGGAGAGGCATCCTACACAGTGTAGAAAGCATATACATTTATGAAATGCTGGTATACGGAATATTTTTTAGACACAAGAATGTAACCATAAATATACTGTATTATTATATGTCTGACTGAATAAAGTTTTTATTTATATGAAAAATGTTGTCCTTCAAGCAGAATATATTTATTTAAACATTTATAAGCCATTTTATTTGGCATTTGAAGCAATCTACCATCATTCTTAAAAGCTTCTATACTATGAAAATCCTTTTGGATTGTCTGAATTTTTGCGTAGTTTTACCACTGTTATCGGAGCTTTATAGAAGTCCAATGAAATACACAGGACCTGGGTGAACATCTGACACCAAACACTGATATTTATTTCATTTATTTCATAACTAAAGACCCAACATGCAATATGCATGTTTGAAAAGTATCATTGTCCCCCTTCTCACAATCCTTACCCATTATTCTTAAATTAGCATCACAACCCCCCAAAAAAACTCTTTATAGTTTAACATTGTTTTGTAGTAGGGCAGGTCTGCAGAATGAAAATGAGAATCAGAATCATTTTATGTCCTTCTTTCAAATGGCAGCTTAGTACTGCTGCCACCACCAGCCTTCAGGGCAAGCCTCATCTGTTCTGCTACAGATATATTTATTTATTTAAAAGATATATAGCAACCATGATAAAAACATAAACAATGCAAACAACACAAAAAAAGAAAAAAACAGAAGATGAAGTTCCCTCAGATAAAGAGCTCTCTTCCCAAATTCTGTAGGAGCTGGTTTGAAACTATTATTAAACATCACAATATCTAATGAAAAGAAATATTCTTAGGAACACAGCCTGAAATATATTTGAAAACTAAAACATCCAATTTTGTAACTTGTTCACAGAGGTATAGGACATACAATGCAAAAAAAAAGAAAGTAAGATCTAATTCCTGGTTATAATTTCTACAGAACAAATGCTCCTCTGCTTCAGTGTTCCTGGATTTCTTCAGCTTCTTTGATATTCCAAATGTCTGAGAGATGGAAACTAGCCCTTTTCCAAATCTTATCCGTATCCCACAGAGAGAGGGTTGGAGTTTTTAACTATTTATACATAAGCAAGACTAATGTCTCAGTTGTGAGAAAGTGAACTGTGAATCTGCAGTTTGGCATGCAGGCTATAATCTCTACAGGCTTATCCTTAGTAACAATGTTTAGCACAGCTACTGTTTTCATTTATAAAAAGAATACTTGAATTGAGATATATAAAATGCCAGCCACCTTTCTTTCCTAAAGAATTCTTCCTCAAATCCTAATGTTCTGCTCAACTTTAAATGGCACATGATGACAGAATCCTTTGTGACTAGTGCACAAAGATCAAGATCTTGCCTTCCTTGATTGTGTGATTTTAATAACAGGCTTTGGTATTGTGAAATTACTCAGCATTATATATCCAAAAGTAATATGCTTCTTTTTCAATATTCTTATTTTTACCCAAACCAAATTCCTTGAATGTCATACCTGAGATTCCAGAATGTCATACATAAGATTATGGTTATTCAATCATTTTCACCATAATATGGCATTTGTTTATTTATTGTATTGATATACTGCTTTTTCGCTTGGGAACTCAGATCAGGCATGCACTTGTGGGGAATATTTTTTCATATTTTATCACAAGAACCCTGTGAGAAATGGAATTAGGACTGAAAAATTAACCCCAAATTATCCAATAAACTCTGTGGCTCAATAGGGGAACTGAACCTCTAACCCCCATTCCTTTAACCTTAAACTATCTACTAGTGACCTCACCCCATTCCTAAGAGGTCTGTAAGGGCCGTGCATAAGTGCACAATTGTGCCTACCATCCCTGTCCTATTGTCCCCATTTATTCGTACCTATTTCCTGTATTCTTACTCATGTTTATACTTATGCCTATTATCTTGTAAGCGATTGACAAATCAGATGAATAAATAAATAAATAAAACCTGGGCCTCTCCAGGTCCAGATTCAACAAGAACCAAACAACACTATTTTCTCATACCTGTGCTCTCTAGCAGCTCTTTCCCAAAATTCAATAAAATGCTATTCGCATTTGATCTGGCAAAAAAAAAAAAGGCAGGTTGGCATAAAATGTGCTGCTGCCACTGTGGATCCCTATCCTGTAACACAGCGGCCCCCAACTTTTTGGGCACCAGGGAACATTTCCATGGACAAAGGAGACATGGTGTCCTGTGCTGCCTGCATCCCATGGATGGGCTTCGCTTGTTTGCACGGCCCAGTTTCTGGCATACTGTTGACCAGTGCCGTTCCATAGACCGGGAGTTGGGGACCCCTGCTGTAACAGGAATGACACACCAAATGGTGCTGCTCTTTATTGTGCATGATCATGTTAAGGAAATAAACTAGTAGATTCCTCTTGCTTCCCTCCCTCCTCAATAACTATTTGCTAGTCGGAAAATACCTAGCAAGTATTCTCGTTAACTAGGCCTGGGACAGGCAGGTTTTAACAGATGGCTTAGAGGTACAGATTCAGTCAATTGTCAAAACTTCCTTCAGGTTTTACAGAAATTTCTGTTAATTCATAGGCTATCAGGAATTTGTACAAAGTTTCAAATATGGAAAGACCAGTACAAGAAGAGACACTTTTAGGAGTAATGGAAAGTAGTGGCATTTATGATTTTGAAATAAGCATCAAAACCTGGAATGAATCTGGAAGCAAAGAACCAACCAGCTCACTGCGGTAAAGTGAAAAAAATTTCTACAGCAGCTAAAATCCTGATTACAAAATATCCGGAAGCAGTCCAGGAACCTTAAAGGGCAGCTGTGGACAATGGCTTGCAATAATCCAACCAGGGAGATTACTACGGTTAGATTATCTTTGCACCCAGACAGATCTTAGCTCTTTAGCTTAAGCAGCCTTAGAAAATTCTACAGTATTGACATTTGAACTTCAGTTCCTTAAAAAAATATGGCAGTACCATTCAATCAAAAGAGGGAAAAAATGATACCTGCTTCCTAAACGACTTTCAGGATTCTTTGCCAAGAAGAGTTTGCAGATTTCTTTTGTTGGCTCATCAAAATTAGCGTGCTGGAACTGCACTTCATCATTTATGGTTCTTTTTTTAACTTCATCTTTTTCAACCTTTTCTTTGTAATCCTTGAACGGTGTTCGACCAGCAATCATTTCATAAATACTGCACCCCATAGCAAACCAATCTACAGGATAACTGTAACTTTCTTCCTTTAAGATTTCAGGAGCCATGTATCCATTAGTTCCAGCCTGTGGCAACATAAAATAGTTTTAATGAAGAGTAATCCTAATTAGTGATATATATATATACACACACAAACACATCAGAGGTGGTATTCAGCAGGTTCTGACCAGTTCCGGAGAACCAGTAGCAGAAATTTTGAGTAGTTTGGAGAACTGGCAAATACCACCTCTGACTGGAGATTTTACAGTATCCTTCCCCTGCCATGCCCACCAAGCCATGCCCACAGAACCGGTAGTAAAAAAATTTGAATCCCACCACTGACACACACATACACACACAAACACAGACTCTCTCTCTCCCTTCCTCACATATGCCACTCTCCCGAGCTGAAAAAATGAATAAATAATGAGGTTTATGTCTGTTACTAGTCTGCTTACAAAAAAAAAACACCATGTTTCTTGCAAAGGGAATCTAGCAGTTTTAACCAACACTGGAAAGAACAGGGGAAGCCAAGTTCACTCCATTTCCCAGTGACCAAGAACAGAGTTGCGCGGACAAACTTAGAGACAAATAAGCTTCTCCTATTTGGGTCGCCCAATGCTGATTTCTCATTGCAGGAAACCAGTAATGTTAACCAAGGCTGTTGGCAAGGAGTGGAAACTTCATCTATCTCTCTTAAGGCATTGGTGTTAAACTCAGAGACAAATGAGAGCCACTCAATCTTGCATAAGATTATCATGGGGACCAGCCCCTCACCTCCTATCCCACCTCCATGCAATATTCCCTCTAATTTCTAATAAATCTATGAGTGGGGAAAATTGCTTTGTGCAGTTTTTCCTGAACCAAATGAGTAAATTGTAAATATATACAATAGTAACATGTTCAAATATGTATATATTTTTACTTAAAATATCAAAACTAGGAAATATACACAGTATGGAACGTACTATACATGCTTGAAAATTGTGGAGGCTCTTGGGTTGGGAGTAGGTCAGTTCCCAGTATAGGGAAAAGGCAGAAGCTCACAGCTTAATTGGCTTAATTGCAGCTGCCTGGGGTGCTTGAGGCTGCTGGAAGGCAGACTGAGCAGAACCACCTGTCAAGTAGTGATCTTGTATGGCTTGTGCCAAGCAATCCTCATTGCTGCAGACTGAGGGGGCAACTTGTGCAGGACTCCTCAGAAGTCACGAGCTCTTGAGTTTTGCTCACTGGTGACTAAAGTTATTATTTAGTTTTAAAATGCAGTATCATCAATGTTTTATTACATTTTTTATTTTATTTAGTTAAATGTTTGTGCCGTATATTTTAATCTGGTTTACAATAATGTATTTAAAATATATTAAACTGAATTTTAAGGTGGTTTGTGCCACATCCGAGAATGTTATGGGCTGTACATGGTCCATGGCCTGCTCCAAGGGATCCCAATCTCTTATTTCTCATTGACACATTACGATTTCATAGTGCTCTGCTTGCCTTACAGAAAAGCAACTTAATACAAGTAGTCATTGAAGTTATGATGCACCCCTCCCCACGCTACTTATGACTCGGTTCCAGAATTCCTGTGACCACATGACTGAATTTCAGGCACTTAGCAACCAGCTCACCTTTATGACCGGTTGCAGCATTTCTGCATTCACATGATTATGTTCATGATATTTTTTTGCCAGTTTCCAGCCTTAGGGCTACATTGATTTGCTTAACAACCACCACATTCACTTAATAGCCACTGCAAAAAGTCCTAAAATTGGGTCCGGTCACATGGGTGGCTCAATGTATGACCGTCGTGACTATCTCTACTTGTATTCAAAATCAAGAACTACCTCTACTTGTATTCTTCTTGCTTATTGCATGTTGTTTGAAAACTTTCTGCAATCAGCAATGGAAGCTCAATAACAATCTTAAAAGGAATAATTGTTAACCTAATTTATACCACAGGGAATTGCTAATCTGTTAAAAGACAACCTGAATAAAGTGTAAAAATGTGATACATACAGAACAAACAAATGAAAATATCTGAAACAAAATTATGGACAACTGAGGGCATCTTGCTACAAAATGCTACTTGCATTTAGCAACTTTTTAACATAATAAATATTCTTCAGCTAACTGTCAAACTGCTTACAGAATCACACTGTTTAACTCCATTGCATAAAAAATTGCCTAATCCATCACGTCAGCAAGGTGTATTTTCCACATTTCTTTCATATTAAGAGGTCTGTGTGTCTAAAACTATACAATACTTATCTAAAAGGAGGAATAGTTCTTCCCTAAAAATCTTATTCTTAAAATGGAAAGGGCATTTATTAGGAGAGAATATAGTAAAGGAGATGTTAAGTTTTAAATCTTGTTTAAATGTGTCATCCTTTTGAATAAAGGATGTGTATGTGTATAATGTGTATACTCAATCCCTAAATAAAATGCAACAACCTACCATTTCACTTCTAATCTGCTGCAGAGCTGTATATCAATAACCTTGAAGAAGGAATGCAAGAATGATTACATAAACATGAGCTGAGCCCTGAAAGAGAGGATAGGGTGAAAAAGAAACTCAGGATTATCCTGTGCTGATTCTCTTGTCAGGTTTTCAAGATTCTGTTATTATCCCATGACATCAAATGGTTCTTGTGGTGTTTGTTCACATGAAAATTTAGAGATGCACTTGATGAATCAGCCCAGATAGCAAGAGTAAACTGAGAGTTTCACAAACTGAAAAAAAGGACAACTACAGAATATCAGATTTTGAATTATAAATTTTGGGGTAGGATCATTCAACTCTGATTGACCCAAGAACTTGAACTGAGGAACACCAAAAAAACATGCTAGGAATAGACAATTCAGTGCCCTTCTATTGTTCTGAAATTCAGTTAACAGCCAGCATAGCTATTGGCAAAGGATTATGGGAACTATACTACAAAATATTTGGAGGGTACTTGCTTGCTTTTCTATGAAAAAATATTAAATTAAATAGAGCAACTAAAAAGGGCCATATGCTTATATGGAAAGGAATTAAACTTATCATTGGAGCAAACCATAATCACACTGAACTGATTAATTAAAGGTATGCTGATTAGTCTATTTACTTTTTTCCTTTCTAGAAAAACAAGGTTAGCTTTACTGTATTAGATTATGATTAGAATTCTTTTTTTCTTTCTGGGGAAGGAAAAACCTTGGCCTCCTTGTCAATAAGCCATTATAACAGGGAATGGGTATTTGCAGTCTCAGTGCTTGGATGAATATAAAGACAATTCTAATGAAGGAGAAGGGGTGGAGGTTGAAGAAGAAAGATCAGGAAGACAGCAGATACCAGTGGTTGTTAAGAAGAAAATTAAAGACTAGGAAAAGTGGACTACCCTTATCAGGCTGGTACAACAAACAAATTCCCCCACCCTTCTAAGTTGCCTGGCCTTGAAGCAACATAATGATCAGGCAGGAAATAAAGCTGGTTTCTCAAGATGGGACATCAGGAGTGAAGAAAGGGTGCCAGAGACAACACAAGTAAGAGCTGACAACACAGCCCACAACTGAGCCTGGCAGGCTTATTGAGACCATTAGTGAGAGCAGGAAAGCAAGCCACAAACCGCTGCAGCTAGAACACTTGATCCCCTCGGTTAGGCATTTCATTAGAACATTACTTTGAGTTCTTGATTTGGCCTGTTGAGGCTTCAAGTGTCTGTTTTTGTTTCCAACCCCTGAATACTCAAGAGTCTGGGGAGAATAAACTTCTGCAAATTCTCTACATCTTCGAAGGTCCGGTGTTTGCTTTCTATTGCAGTATTCATTAGTCATCTCCTCACTTCTCTGTTTGTAAGAGTTTCTGCCAGGAAAATGTTTTTTAAAAACTATGTCTAACCTTTAAGCCATGTTTGGGATCGTACTGCAATTGCCCTTTATGGTTTTCAGTAATTGTGACTGCATGGGACTCTAAAGCCTCCCCCCTCCACCTCCTTGCAAAGGCTGAATATATTCTTAGAACGACACATTGCCCACTCATGATTTCTATCTATTAATTTTATTTTATGTATATATAAAGATCTTCTCGAGTTGAGCTTGACTCAGTGACTATGGGGACACATCTATAAAGTTGTCTTCAGGATGTTGTTGCCTTTCTTTTACTTTTCCCAGTTATTGATATAGCTATAAAAAACTGGGAAATTCCCTGTTGATCTCCCATCCAAATATTAAGTAGATCTTACTTTGCTCAGCTTTTGGGCAGATCAACCAATGTCAGTTAGGTGCTGCCACATGCTCTATGTTATTTTTCCATTTATTGAATTTCTTATAATGTATCAAGCTAAATCTAAGGAAAAAAAGAAACTGTTCAGTTAACTATTTTAAGAACATGATAAAACCTTAATAGGAGGAAGGTGGGATATCTAGAAAATAAATAGTAAGCAAAGGTCATAAAAAGTTATTTTCTTTTTTTCTTCATCAAAAAGGATGAATTTAAATATTTTACAAACAACACTGCTGCAACTTAGATATAAATTAACTGTCCAATATTATATAATTATTTTTAAACATCCCATATGTATAAAAGGTCCAAAATTCCTGGGTACCTTGGTATATTCCAAGTATTTGATAGACTTCAAATATATAGTGAAGAAGAACATATGCATCTTTTATCTACAATGATCAGTCTGCAGTCACAGTAACATTCCTAACATTTCAACCCCAAATGGAGCAACAATAGAACAAATGCAGATAATGCATGCATATTCCCCAAATCCTAAATTATATCTCCAATACAATGCAATCAACCTTTTAAAAGCATTCTAGATGACGTTCAGGGCAAATAAATATTTCTTCACTTTAAACTTGTATTCTGATCTTATCCAGCATTATAAAATCACACATATAAAATCTTCCCATATACTGTATAGTATATGATATACCATTATATGATGTATATGATGATATACATTTGGTAGCAAATCCTTTGCTGCTAAATGCTTTTATTTTTACATGTCATGCATCAAAACAAATAAGAAACTGACTTAGTTTAGCAATACTAAATACTGTAAACTCAGTATACCGAAGATAATTTTTCAGAAATGTGAAGGAACCA